ACTGGCTGACCAACCGCACTCAACGTGTAGTCCTCAATGGAACTGCATCTACATGGAGGGAAGTATGCAGTGTGGTATCCAAGGCTCTGTTTTAGGCCCAGTACGCTTCAACATCTTCATCAATGATTTGGATGAGGGAATAAATGGGAAACTCATCAAACTTTCCATACTTATGAGATTGTAGCAATCCCATGCTCACACAATCAAAACTAGTGTACTTGGCATCTGGAATGTATTTATGACAGTTGTCATATCACTATTTGTAACTTCCCAGCTGGCTTCAGGCAAGCAAAGTCAACGGGGCAACCCAGATTCACTTAACAACAGCAAGTTTCACTTAACAGTTGCAATGATTTGCTTAACATCTATGGGGGAAAACCCTTGTAAAATGGGGCAAAACTCATTTAACTGTCTCGCTAGCGATGGAAATTTTGGGCTCAGTTGTGGTCATAAGTCGAGGACTATCTATTCTAAAAAGGGGATCTTAGATCAGCTAATCTAACCAATCTTACTTCAGATATAAACATCCCCCACTTTAGGAGTGCCTTAAATAAATAGCTCTCTGGGTTCTTTACTCATTTTCCCTCTGAAATGGTACATTGATTCTATTACCACAGGTCACTGTTTCTACTTTGTGTTGCACCTGCCCCTAAGTGCAGGTGAGCTCAGCATTTTATCCCGTTATAGTGAAATTGTAATTTCAGTGCAATTCAGAATTTCAGTGCAATTCAGAATTCTTCGAACCCTATTTAATAGAACGGACATTTTCTCAAACCTGAAACTTAGCAAGAACTTTGTGGTTTTATTTTGCCCTCAAGGTCTGGAGAGAACGATGTGGAATACACTCACAACATGGAGTTGGAGGAAGGAGACCTTGTAGAAGAAGCCACATCTGCCCCAGCAGGGGCTTCAGGTATACATAGAGAAAAATCCTTTTTATAAGGGCATTTCCGTATAAAGCATCCCTTCCTCCTTTGTCCTCATCAGAAGCCACGTGGAGTTGGGGATTCTGTAGGATTTTCTATTTTTGGAACTGCTGCATCACACATCATATGTACAGATTCTTTAATGTAGGGCAGTCATCCCATTAGCTCAAATTCAATGGAGGCTTGCAGCTGGGATTTTTTTAAAAAAAAAGCATGTCGGTATAATACTAGCTGTGAGATTATGTTTTGGGAAAGGCTATCAGACAAACTTGAGTTTTTGAGAGGTTTGCCTTACTTCAAGGAAAAGATTGTCCTTGGGCCTTCCTGCCTAAGAAGCTTTAATGCCTTCATTTAAAACCTTCTGATGTTCTTCTCTTACTTCGGGAGGAGATAATTTAGGTAGTAGGTAGAGAAGAATTTAAATAAATGAGATTTTTTTTAGGCAGTAGATGGAGAAGAATTTCAATAAATCTATCTCTTCGATTGTTGATTTGAATGTAATTCAGAAACAGATTCTTTATACAGGCAGTCCTGAACTTCCGACCAGAATTGAGCCCAAACTTTATGTTGCTAAGTGAGAAATTTGTTAAGTGAGTTTTGTCCCACTTTACNCCCCCAGGAGCTGTCTGAAAGCCTCCATAGGGGTATGCACGACCATTTTGGTGAAGGGGCGGGGCTTCGGGAGGCCAAAAAAATGCTGTATTTGATGTATAAGATGCACCCAGATTTTCAGCCTCTTTTTTGAGAAAAAAAGGTGCATCTTATACTCCGAAAAATATGGTACATAGAATTTAATGGATGAAAGGGACCTTCTAAATAAGGGATAGATAAACATTTTCTCCAAAAGTTGGTGTTAACTCTCAGAATAACTGAACAGAGTTGGAAGAGACCTTGGAGGTCTTCCACCCAAACCCCCTGCTTAGGCAGGAAGCCTTATACAATTCCGAACTAATGGCTGTCCAATGTTTTCTTAAGAACCACCAGTATTGGATAATTCACAACTTCTAGAAGCAAGTCAAATAACTGGTTTATTATTCTCACTGTCGGGAAATTCCTCCTTAGTTCTAGGTTGGTTCTCTCCTTGATTAGGTTCCATTTGTTGCTTCTTGTCCTGCCTTCAGGTGCTTTATATCAGGGTGACGCAAGAGATGTCAGTTTCAGTGAACGAGCTATTTCTTTGAGGCAACAAAAAAAAAGATGTAGGGGAACATCTGAGTTACCCTTCTTAACTTTAGATCTACTGAGTGCTGCATCCGTCTCAATGACAAATAGTTGTCCAATTTGTTCTTAAAAACCTCCAGTGATGGAGCACCCACAATTTAATGGAAGCAAATCGTCATACCTCTAGTGGTGGCTGGGGTGATGGGATGGCGTCCCAAGACCCCTTAGGTTCACAAACTGCGGTTCCCAAATGTTTTGGAACCAGGGACCAGTTTCCAGAAAAGACAGTTTACCCACAGACTGGGTGGTAGTGGTGGAATTGGTTTCACGCACTACCTAGATATGGCGCATGGACAGATGTAGCTTTGCTCGCTTCCACAGCCCAGTTCCTAACAGGCCGCAGACCAGTACTGCTTCACAGCTTAGGGATTGGGGACAGAGGATTTTAAATTAGTTGAACTATGTTTTTCACCTCTGAGAGTTTCTCTTTTTGTTGAATTTATAAAGTGCATGCAGGTATTCCTCAACTTAAAACCATTCATTTACTGATGGTTCAAAATTACAACGGCATTGAAAAAAGTGACTTACGGCCACTTTCAATAATACAATACAATAGCAGAGTTGGAAGGGATCTTGGAGGTCTTCTAGTCCAACCCCCTGCCTAGGCAGGAAACCCTATACCGTTCCAGACAAATGGCTATCCAACATCTGCCTAGATAAGGTAGACCATAACCTACTACTAGATAAAGTAGAAGAATGTGGGTTGGACAG